AATAACAGCAAATAATTACTTTTGTTGTGATGAATGTTTGAAACAGTCAGCGGGATGTTGTAAGAACTGCCAGTTCTGGAGGATTTGTTAGCTGTTTGTAAATCAGTCTACATGCTGTGATATACACACAGCTTTACTCATTGAGTTCAGGCAATAAAAAAAATAAAATAAAATAAAATAAAATAAAATAAAAAAGGAGTAGAAATTTTGAGAATCACATTTAAGGAATGTGCACAGCAGCTAAAAACAGACTGGGATGCAGAGAAGAACAGAGAGAAAGTGGATAGTGGAAGACTGAAGAAGAGGCTAAGGCTGTTTCTTGTCGCTCCATTCCTCTTTCATCTCCTTGCTAACAAGAACACCACGCACAAGCAAACACACTAAGTAATAAAAGAGAGGAGCAGACAGGAACAGCATGCGATGATTGGATTTCAGTGAGCGATGATTGAGGTTTCATTACTGCCACTATAACCATAACCTTTAAGAGCATCAAACACAACCACATGATGCACGTCCACGGATTTCACAATCTCCGCAGGTCGATCCCTCTCATGTACAGTTTTCTGTCTTCGTTTGCTTTTATTTTCTCCCTCCTTTTGGACAAATAAAGGAAACAAGACAAAAGACAACACACACACACACATATAAGGAGAAAACAATCTGATGGTAGTAGCGCTCATCAGCAGGGCCTCTTAGCTGCTGACACACACACAGTCAGGTTTCAACTTACATTAACTTAATTTAACCAAAACCTACACAATCCAAAACCTAACCTTTGACCCAACAGGTTATTAACACTCAAATCAAGTCATTTGCATGGAGGAAACGATCGTTTGTGTGTCCAAAACAAGTCCGCACCATTTATGTCCCCGCAATGTAAGTACTAACAAGGACACACACTCAGCAGGAGAGCTCACACTCAAACAGCAAGTCACAAGGACAGTCACACTCACGCAGCGAGAGGTGGAACAGATACGGCGGTGAGTAACACAACCGAGTGTCAGAGAGATGAGAGAGAGATCAGGACAGAAGAAGGAAAGAGACATAAGCAATATAAAATAGCAGGAAGAGGGAGAAATAAGGGTGAGAGAGAAAGGGAAGGGAAGGGAAGGGAAGGGAAGGAAAGGAAAGGAAAGGAAAGGAAAGGAAAGGAAAGGAAAGGAAAGGAAAGGAAAGGAAAGGAAAGGAAAGGAAAGGAAAGGAAAGGAAAAACAAGCGATAGGAGGAAAGATGAGCAAAACAGAAGAGAAGAATGAAGGAGGAGAGGAAAAAGTGGAAAGAAATGGAAAGAAAGCTAATGCAAACTAAATGAGAAGAGAGCAAGATGATGAGGGAAGGTCCAGCAAATGGGGGGAAAAATAAATGAAAAGGGAAGAAAATATGAGGAAAGTAGAGAATGGAAAGACAAGGACAATATAGAGGACAGGAAATAGATATATTTTATTTATCTTTCAATATAGACTGAAAGAAAAAGAGGCGAGAAGAAAGAAAGGAGCAAGAAGGAGAGGGAACAGCAGTAAAGGAAAGACAGCAGGATGAAGAAGGAAGGTCCAGAAAATGAAAGAAAAATT